GATTACAGGCACGCGCCACCATGCCCAGCTAATTTTTTGTATTTTTAGTAGAGACGGGGTTTCACCATGTTGACCAGGATGGTCTCGATCTCTTGACCTCGTGATCCACCCGCCTCGGCCTCCCAAAGTGCTGGGATTACAGGCGTGAGCCACTGCGCCCGGCCACTATCTCCTCTTCATTTCTATTTCTTTATCATTATTATTTTTTGTACTTCAAGTTTGAGATAAATTTTAGTTTAAAAAATTTCTTTTTTACTACATAATCACTTCTGAAAGACGCCTTTGTGGCGTCCTATAAACAAATCACATCATTTCTTTCTTTACATGTTTATGTTCCAGTTATTTTCCTGTTGACCTCAGAGTTAGTTAGTTAGCTAGTTACTGTTTTTTTTTGAGACGGAGACTCACTCTGTCACTCAGGCTGGAATGCAGTGGCACAATGTTCTCTCACTGCAGCCTCCACCTCCCAGGTTCAAGCTATTCTCCTGCCTCAGTTGTCTGAGTAGCTGGGATTAAACCGGCACACACCACCATGCACGGTTAATTTTTGTATTTTTAGAAGAGACAGGATTTTACCATGTTGGCCAAGCTGATGTTGAACTCCTGACCTTGAGATCCGCCTGCCTCGGCCTGTAGGGCACGTTGGGAGCCAGATGTAAGGCTGAGGGCCCCACAGGGTCGTGGGGTGAGCCTTATGCTGTGCTGAGGCGCAGGATCCCAAAAATAAAGAGACAGGACACAGGAGCACAAAGAAAACGCAGCTGGGCCCAGGGGCCTATGCCACCTACAAGCGGAGTCAGGCGAGGCCCCGAATGTCCAGAAGCATGAGTATTTATTGTGTATAGGTTAGGGGGCAGGGCAGTGAGTGAAATCACCTTTAAGGATAGTGATAGAGTCTTGAGCAATAAAACATGGGGTCCACCCACATTAGGGCATCTAGGCCAGGAGGTGGACAGTGCACAGCAAGGGGTCTGTTCCCATGAAGGCAAGGGCCGTGTGCACTAAGGGGTCCATCCCCATTAGGTCACCGAGTGTTGAAGGTGGGCCGTGCGCAGTGAAGAGGGTGAAGTGTGCCATACTTCTATCTATGGGAAACTACTTCTAAGAAGATTTATGGGAGGATGCTTTAAGTCCCATGGCAGTGACAGAGCTGTCAAGGTTACCGCCACCTTCTGGCAGCTTCCAATGGGTTCTATGGGAAGATGCTTTTCAAGCAGCACAGGAGCAAGAGCTGATAAAGTTCACAGTCACCAAGGTGGATTGCCGTTCTGAGGGCAGCCTTCCACAAGAACTGGAGCAAGGTCCTACAACTCCTTTATCAGGAGGAGTGGCTCTCGCCCCAAGCCTGCCATACAGCGGGTATCTTTACGATACTGAACACTGCCGCCTGGGCCATGGATTTTTGTCCTGGTATAACTGTTTTCCCTTAAATCATGCTCTGCACTGTGTCTGCTCCAGGCATTCCTCCGATTATAAGCTGCTTATTCCTTAATTCATGCTCTGTACTGTGTCCACTCTAGGCATTCCTCTGATTATGAACTAAGATATAATTATAGGTATATATGTAGGGAAATATTCTTTAGGCACTCATACTATCAACAATTATATGATTATATATAGAGGATTATATAAAGGGATTCTTCAAGCCCTATTTCTATAAACTAATATATGATTATGTAAAGGATTATATAAAAGGAAATATCTGAATAGTAATACTATAAAGTGAGATATTCCTCAAGCCCTAACTGTGCCAGGGTTCTGCTTAGCTCTCATTCCTCAGTGCCTATATGGGGGGGTTACCTCCCAAAGTGCTGGTATTACAGTCATGAACCACTGTGCCTGGCCTTATATTTAAAAAAAAAAAAAAAAAAATTAAAAATGGTTTCTGTTTGAAGTTAGTTGCGTCTGGTTTAGATCAAGGTCTGCATGCTTTCTAGTCTTCATTATTTATTGGAAGCCTTTGTAGGTAATACTTAAGTTTGATTGTTTCAGTGTGTACTTGGTAAAGATGTCAGTGACCGTTTACCTTAACATCAAAATGTAGTTTAACCAGTTAGTCTACTTTTCAGTTTTCTTTCCTTATGTCATTCATTAAAATCTTGAGCTGTGAGCTCCTAAGTTCATGTTTCCCTCCAGGCCCTGTGGTTCGTTCTGGAGATATGTTGAAAGATTCTTTGTTGTTGTGGGAGAAAAATGTTTGAAGACTTGGTCCCTGCCTGATCTGGGTCCCCGGGGCCTCTCTGACCTCATCTCCTGCCTGTGTCCTCCTTGCTCCCTCTGCTCCAGCCGCAGGCCTCTTTCCTGTTCCTGGGGCCGAGGTTGCACCTGCCTCAAGGCCTTCACGTGGGCTGTGTCTCTGCTGGAACTCGCTGGCCCCTCAGCTGCAGGTGCAGACACGCCTCCTTCCCCGGTGTCTGTTCTGATATCACCTCTCAGTGGGGACTTCTGTGACCCACCTCCCGATGAGCACTCCAGCCACACCCTCACCCCCACCTCTGGTCCATGTTGGCTGTTCTGCATGCTTCTTTTTGTTTTCTTCACCTTCCACTGCCTCAGTACTGATGATCCAAGGCCTCGGGGGCAGAGCAGAGCTAGACGGCCGGGCTGTGCTGGGCTTGCCTCCTCCTCCGAGTGGATCTCAACCGTGTCTTCACATTAGAGTGCTGGGGAATTTACACTCATATCTATTATGCTCCAGAAATTCTCCTTCACACACTTAGGGTAGGCCTGAGTAATTTTTTTTGTCTGTTTGGAAATTTTTTTACTTTCGTTGTTGTTGTTTTGTTATTGTTAAGACAAAGTTTCACTCTTGTTGCCCAGCGTGGAGTGCAAAGGTGTGATCTTGACTCACTGCAACCTCCTCCTTCAGGATTCAAGCGATTCTTCTGCCTCAGCCTCCCAAGTAGCTGGGATTACAGGCATGGACCACCACGTCTGGCTAATTTTGTATTTTTAGTAGAGAAAGTGTTTTTCCATGTTAGGCTGGTCTCCAAGTGCTCACCTCAGGTGATCTGCCTGCCTGGGCCTCCCAAAGTGCTGGGATTACAGGCGTGAGCCACCACGCCTGGCCTTAACTTTATTTGATGTTTTTGACAATCAGTGATTGGTTCTCATCCACAGTGCCGGTCTGTAGGTTTTAGAAAGTGATAACAGGTACACAGGTAACCACGGTATAGAGCTTATTTGGTGACTCTTCATCCTCATTACATTTTCTGGGCAACCGCACGTGGACATGGTGCGGGACATTTCTCATTCCTTTGGCCCGGACGGCTTTGTTGAGCCTAGTATCAATGAACACACCTGGATTTTTCATGTTCTTCATGGGCTTGTGAATGTTGATGGTGTACTCTTGGGTCACCGCCTGGTTGGTGGCAGAATGGCTCTTTTTCTTCTTGCCACACCTCTTTGTGGGAGCCATTCTGCCGGGTCCTAGTTGGAAAGTTTGCTGAGTTTTTTTTTGGTTTTTTTTTTTTTTTTTTTTTTTTTTTTTTTTTTTGAGACGGAGTTTCACTCATGTTACCCAGGCTGGAGTGCAATGGCGCGATCTCGGCTCACCGCAATCTCCGCCTCCTGGGTTCAGGCAATTCTCCTGCCTCAGCCTCCTGAGTAGCTAGGATTACAGGCACGCACCACCATGCCCAGCTAATTTTTTGTATTTTTAGTAGAGACAGGGTTTCACCATGTTGACCAGGATGGTCTCGATCTCTTGACCTCGTGATCCACCCTCCTCGGCCTCCCAAAGTGCTGGGATTACAGGCTTGAGCCACCACCCCTGGCCGAAACCCCATCTTAAAAAAAAAAAAGAAAAAATTTTTTTTAGATAGAGTCTCACTCTTGTCACCCAGGCTGGACTGCTGTGGTGCAATCTTGGCTCATTGCAACCTCCTCCTCCTCGGCTCAAGTGATCCTCCCACCTCAGCCTCCTAATTAGCGGAGAGCACAGACACAGAGATGTGTACCACCATGCCTAGCTAAGTGTTTGTATTTTTGGTAGAGATGGGGTTTCACCATGTTGCCCAGGCTGGTCTCAAACTCTTGTACTCATACGATCCACCTCCCTTGGCCTTCCAGAGTGCTGGGATTAAAGTTCTGGGCCACCGCACCCAGCCTCTGCCTGGGCTTTGGTGAGGGCTGAGTCTGTGCCCTGAAGGGAAGCTCATTCTAGCCCAGCTCCCCACTGATGCAGTCTGCGTGTGGGTGTCTCCAGGAGGGAAGTGGGTTCTGAAGAAAGGGATCAAAAATCACTTAGTTTTCTTGTAGGAGTTTATCGTCCCTGGTGCAGTGGGCAGCAGAGGGAACCGTATTTCCTCTGGGTGAGGTCTCCTTTGTATGTGTCGTTGTGTTCCAGGGAGGGGGTGTGTTGATTCTGAGCAATAAACAACATATTTTTGACATTCAGGATTGACTTCTAATGACTCTTGATACGTGAGGAAGAAACCCGGAAGAGGAAGAGGAAAGCAAAGGAGTCAGGAATGGCTCTTCCTCAGGTGAGATGATATTCTCGGTGGATGTTCTGTCTCCTTCCTTTCAGAAATGCTGGGCCTTGAAGTTGGGAATCTTCTCTGAGTCTGAAGCGTCCTGCCTGACAGGTTTGCTGGCACTCACCCATGCCTTCCCTCAGTCCCTTATCTCACTTAGATTCCAGCTCCCATGACCCAGTGACATGAGCTTGGGAAGAGACTGCACTGGGCATGGTCCTGGGAAGGGCTCACCCCAAACGTGGATGAAGATGGGGTGTGGGCCCTGTGGTGTCAGGGCTGTTGGGCAGCAGGGATTGTTCAGGGGCTACATCGGGGTGCACCGTCAGCTCTGTGTACACCAGGAGTAGAGCAGCTGCCCATGGAAGTCATGTATTAATGTGTACAAAGTACAGGGTAAGTTCCAGAAAATGAGACCAATAAGGGGAAGTCTTTTCTGCCTAAGTTTTACTACATTTTTAGCTAATTGAGTGAGTTACTGTTTTCTTGACTCCAAAAATCTTACTCATTAGAATGGAATGTTCACACACAGACATGAATGATAGAAGGTGTTTTATGCCATCGTTATTTTAAGAATATAAAATGAGCCTAAAAAATAGCAGGAGATTAATTAAACCATTCTTAACGCATTGAGCTCCTGCAGACTGTGGTGTTACTGTAGAGAGGCTTGTGACACAGGTGTTTTTGGTAAAAATGGTTATGATTTTTCTCAAATATAGGAGCAGTACTTCTTTTTTATCCTAGAGGATGGAGCTATATTTTTATTTATTTCTTTTTTTGAGATGGAGTCTCCCTCTGTCTCCCAGGCTGAAGTGCAGTGGTGCAATCTTGGATCACTGCAACCCCTGCCTTCTGGGTTCAAGCAATTCTCCTGCCTCAGACTCCTGAGTAGCTGGGACTACAGCCACTTGCCACCACGACTTGCCAGATTTTAGTTTCTGATCTTTCACTGTGGACGCTGTCGTCTTTGAAGACATCACTCATGGTCTGTCTCATGTAGATACTCAATGTCACTTGGTGCGTCAATAAAAGTGTCTAACATTTGTATAATGGGAATCCTGCATTGATTTTGTGTATGTGTGCATCTTGTATTATCTACAAACATAAGGAATTCATACCGAGAGGGTGTTATGACTTCTTCAGAAAGTGTAATAAAACACAACTACAAAGACACAATGTGGCGAAAAGTCCCTTACTCAGGTTTGTCAGAACATTCACTACAATTAAAACCATGCTTTCACCTCTTTTCTCATTTTCCATAAGGATAAGAACTCTAGCAAGACACTGTAGCTTATGCCTGTAATCCCAGTACTTTGGTAGGCGAGGCCAGTGGATCTTCTGAGCTTTGAAGTTCAAAACCAGCCTGACCAACATGGAGAAACCCTGTCTCTATGAAAAATGCGAAATTAGTCGGGCATGGTGGCGCCAGCCTGTAATCCCAGCTACTTGAGAGGCTGAGGCAGGAGAATTGCATGAACCCAGGTGGCGGAGCTTTTGGTGAGCTCAGATCATGCCATTGAACTCCAGCCTGGGCAACAAGAGGGAAACTCCATCTCAAAAAAAGAAAAGGGGAAAAAAAAAGACTCCTCTTATAATGATTTGGTTAAAATGTGTTTTCATTTCAGGGTCCATTGACATTCAGGGATGTGGCCGTAGAATTCTCTCCGGAGGAGTGGAAATGCCTGGACTCTGCTCAGAGGACTTTATACAGGGACGTGATGTTGGAGAATTACAGGAACCTGGTCTCCCTGGGTGAGGACAACTCCCTCCAGAAGCGGTGATGTGCCCTTGCGTATGTTTGTATTTTCCGTATTGATTTTGAAATGAAAAGCTTCATGATGCAGCATCTGGACTTTAACTGTCCCCTTTGTTTAGATGTTGTGCATTCTTCATGATACCTCAGTGGGAGTTCCAGAACTCAAGTAGGCATAAACCTTACGGCAGGCCAGGCATCATCAACCGTGCCTATAATCTTAGCACTGTGGGAGGCCGAGAATTGTGGATCACTTCAGGTCAGGAGTTAGAGACCAGCCTGGCCAACATAGCGAAACCCCATCTCTACTAAAAATACAAAAATCAGCGGGGCGTGGTGGGCCACACCTTTAACTTCAGCTACTAGAAAGGCTGAGGATGGAGAATCGCTTGAACCCAGAAGGCAAAGGTTGCAGTGAGTTGAGATCCCACCACACTATCCAGCCCAGGTGAAACGCTGTCTCAAAAAACAAACACAAAACCTTATGGCAGACTTTAAAGATGTCCACTTCTGGCTGGGCGCGGTGGTTCCTGCCTGTAATCTCAGCACTTTAGGAGGCTAAGGTGGGTGGATCACCTGAGGTCGGGAGTTCAAGACCAGCTTGATCAACAGAGAAACCCTGTCTGTACTAAAAATACAAAATTAGCCGGGGATTGTGACAGATGACTGTAATCCCAGCTACTTGGGAGGCGGAGGTAGGAGAATGGCTTGAACTTGGGAGGTGGAGGTTGCAGTGAGTCATAATCGTGCCATTTCACTCTGTTGCCCTCCAGCCAGGGCAACAAGAGTAAAAGTCAGTCTTCTTTTTTTTTTTTTTTTTTAAGATATCCAGTTCCCTGTTTGCTACTCAGGAGGCTGAGGCAGGAGAATTGCTTGAACCTGGGAGACAGAGGTTGCAGTGAGCCAAGATCGTGCCACTGCACTCCAGCTTGGGTGACACAGTGAGATTCTATCTCTGGGAAAAAAAAAAAAAGTAGCAGTGGCTTAAACAAATATCAGTGTACGTAAAACCAGAGGCATCTTAGCAGTGACCTGTGCTCCACACAAGGACCATGGGAAGATTCACGGGTGTGCCATGCCCCAGGCACCTGCATGTGTTCAGTATTTGGAATCTTTCGTATCCCCCATATTTCAGGGATTTGCAAGCAGGCTTCATCACGCAGTCATGATTGATATTAACTCAGTCTCCAGCCCCTCTCCCCTTTGTGGAGGATGGCTGATGTCAGTGACTGGTTCATGCTTCTAAGCGTGTCCTGACCTTTCTGGTGATCAGCTCCATGCAGGAGACATTAGAGGTTATCTCATTAGGACCCTCCCATCACTCGGGACATCCCAAGGTCTTAGGAGCTTTGTGCCAGGAACTGGGGAAAAGACCAATATATGCATTTCTTCGTACGTCACAAGGTTGCTCAGATGGTATTACAGGCATATGCTACCACCCTTTGCTAATTTTGTATATTTAGTAGAGACAGGGTTTCTCCTTTTTTGTCAGGCTGGTCTCAAACTCCCGACCTCAGGTGATCTGTCCACCTCATCCTCGTGAAGTACTGGGATAACAGGCGTGAACCACTGTACCTGGTCTCTCTATCATTTTATTTACCTTTACTAAAGAACTTTATATATATTTGCGTGTTGGAATTACTCTTTCACCTGTCACCCAGGCTGGAGTGCAGTGGCGTGATCTTGGCTCACTGCAAACTCCGCCTCCCAGGTTCGAGCAATTCTCATGCCTCAGCCTTCCAAGTAGCTGGGATGACAGCTGAGTGCCATTATGCTCCAATAATTTCTTTTATTATTTTAGTAGAGACGGTGTTTCACTGTCTTTGCCAGGATGTTCTCAATCTACTGAACTTGTGATCTTCCTGCCTCGACCTCCTGCCTCATGCTGGGATTATAGGCATGAGCTACTATACCCACCCTGCCTCAAGTCTTTTAAAACATGTTAGTGCTGGCCGGGCGCGGTGGCTCAAGCCTGTAATCCCAGCACTTTGGGAGGCCGAGGCGGGTGGATCACGAGGTCAAGAGATCGAGACCATCCTGGTCAACACGGTGAAACCCCGTCTCTACTAAAAATACAAAAAATTAGCTGGGCATGGTGGTGCATGCCTGTAATCCCAGCTACTCAGGAGGCTGAGGCAGGAGAATTGCCTGAACCCAGGAGGCGGAGGTTGCGGTGAGCCGAGATCGCGCCATTGCACTCCAGCCTGGGTAACAAGAGCGAAACTCCGTCTCAAAAAAAAAAAAACAAAAACATGTTAGTGCTATTACATGGCTTCAAGTGTTGCAAGTTTTATTGGATGGATTTAAACTTCCTTTGTTTAATAAGATTTGTCAGCCTTTGGTGATGTTGATGGTGAGATGCTCCTTTTTCTGTCTCAGTCACTTTATTGTCATGTCAGAAATAGCTTAGACTGGCTGGCTGTGGTGGCTCATGCCTCTAATTCCCGCACTTTGGGAGGCCATGGTGGGTGGATCACTTGTAATCAGGAGTTCGCGACCAGTCTGGCCAACATGATGAAACCTCGAATCTACTGAATACAAAAAATTGGCCAGGCGCGGTGGCTCACACCCGTAATCTCAGCACTTTAAGAGGCTGAGACAGGCAGATAACCTGTAGTCAGGAGTTCAAGACCAGCCTGCCCAACATGGTGAAACCATGTTTACTAAAAATACAAAAATTAGCTGGGTATGGTGGTGCATGCCTGTTATCCCAGGTACACAGGAGAATCGCTTGAACCCGAGAAGTGGAAGTTTCAGTGAGCCAAGATTGCGCCACTGCACTCCAGCCTGAATGACAGAGTGAGACTCTGGGCTGGAGTAGGAGAATCTCTTGAGGCAGGAGAATTATGCCACAAAACTCCAGCCTGAGTGATAGAGCATGACTCTGTCTCAAAAACAAACGAACAAAAAGAAATAGCTTAAGCTGGAAGGCTTAAGACACAGCAGTGTATTTCTCATGAATCTGAAAAGTGGGAATTCCAAGAGCAAGGTGCAGCCACATTGGTTCCTGGTGAGAACCTTCTCATGATTGAGCCCAGCCATCCTCCTGCTGAGTCCTGACATGGTGGAAAGAGGAAAAGGCAAGGAGCTCTTGACTGTCTCTTTTTATAAAAGCACTGATCCTATTCGCGAGTAGTCAACACCCATGACCAAAGTCTCTCAAAGGCTCCATGTGCAGGAACATCCTATTGGAGAATCAGAACTCTCAACATGGCTTTTCACCAATAAGAACATTCATTCTAGGGAGTCTGCATCATATTTGTAGCGGTTTTATTTTGCAGTTTGTTTTATGCAGTGTTTTCTCTGATCTCAGTTTATAAATTTTTCTAGTAAACATTCTGTTCTACATTTTATGCACAGTGAACTAGATAACTAAGGGCAATGTATATATACAGAATTGCTGTATTGCCTGGCTGTTACAAAACTGTGGTTGTGATACCATAATTGTACCCTGCAACACTGTTAGTCAATTATTTTTTTTCCCTCTGCATCCCATGTTTAAGCAATTCTCCTGCCTCAGCCTCCTGACTAGCTGGGGTACAGGTATGCACCACCAAGCCTAGCCAATTTTTTGTATTTTTAGTAGTGATGGGGTTTCACTATGTTGGCCAAGCTGGTCTTGAACTCCTGACCTCATGATCTGCCATCCTTAGCCTGTAATTCCAAAGTGCTGGAATTACAGGTGTGGCTACCATGCTTAGCCCTTTTTTTTTTTCTCTGAAATGGAGTCTCATCCTGTCTCCTATGCAGGAGTATAATGGTGTAGTCTCAGCTCATTGTAACCTCCCCATCCTGGGGAGGTTCAAACGATTCTCCTGCCTCAGCCTCTCAAGTAGCTGGAATGAAAGGCACCCGCTACTATACCCAGCTAATTTTTTTTTTTTGTATTTTTAGTAGAGACAGAGTTTCCCCATGTTGGCCAGGCTGCTTTCAAACTCCTGACCTTGTGATCTGCCTGCCTCGGCCTCCCAAAGTGCTGGGATTACAGGTGTGAGACATTGCACCCGGCCATTTTCAATTCTCATTCCTTTTTTTTTTTTTTTTTTTTTTTTTTTTTTT